GGGAAAGGGGGAGGGGCTGAGGGGTTGCATTATAGCAATTTACAAGTCACTTCCACATCCTACTGAAAACAGTATAGGCTTTACCAGTGTGGAAATTCTGGGCCACAGCTTGCCTAACCTTGCCCAACCCAAAACTGAGCTACGTGTTCAACAAATTCAAAACAAAGGTCCCCTACCAACCTGAGATATTCCTGGTGAGGGCCGATGGATCTTTGACATAACTATATCCACAACCTACAGGATTATCCACAAAAACGATGTTGGCTTCTCTTATCCACGTTGTGTTGCGCGACTCGAGACCGACGTCCAGGGGACCGATCTCTGCGAAATTTCCGTACCCTGTGGAGGAAGCCCCGGGACCTCCCTGCAGCCACATTAACAGAGGTTTCTGAAATCTTTGGGCAGGATCTTTCACCTGGGCCCCATAAAACCACCAAAACATGTGAGCATTTGGTCTGACCTCCACATAATCCCAGGCTTCATCTGGTATCAGTGGTTCTGATTTCGCAGCTTGAATGGATAGCTGAAAAGCAACGAGCATGTAAGTGATCGAAGCCATTTAATTTTCGTTTCAGTCTAAGTACGGGTTGAGACTGGTGATGAGTAAAATTCGCTCGAGAGAGGTCTGGGTAATAGGGTGGGGAGGGGTAGGGGTAAAACGAACACTTCTTTTTTTTTAATTTTCTGACAAACTTTTTTGAGTAGGACGCAGAATGAACTTAAGTAGGTAGACGCTTCTTATTTATACCTTTCGAATAAATGTGTATTTTTTATGTAAACTTCAAAAGTCGAAACCTTCTTTTATTCGTTACGATTTCAGCGCTATGTCTTAGTCACTCCTCCCTGCTGTAGGAAATTTATTCACAGTCCGCATGACAACTCGAGCACATTTCCAAGATGGCGGAAAACTCTCAGCAACCTTTGCCGAAAAGACATGATTTACAAACGTCTGCAGACCTTGAGAGAGTCACAGATTATGCTGAAGAGAAAGAAATAAGTACAACGGACATAGAAAATGTAAGTACTGTGCTTTTTTTTTAAACTAGAATACTAAAGATCAAAAGTGAAATTATGCATTTGGTTGCATTTTCAAGATCCTGATTTTACTTTTCAAATTACAAGTCTTATTTGGTCAGTTTTTGATATCGTAGCGGGTAGTTCACAGCTTGACTGATATTTTGCTTAACACACTGAGAATTTGTAGCGAAAAATAGCCGTAGACATCAAAATTTAGCAGCAGAATTCTGCGTACGTAGTTACGAGTGACTTTAGAAAGAAGCAGAATTCTGCGTACGTAGTTACTAGTGACTGAAGCATTCTTCGATCTCCATTGCTTATTTAGTGTAGACCTTGCCAGTCACATAGCATGCAATGATGCAATGCATGTGGTTTAGAGTGGCTCTACATGCATTAGATTTTGTCGAGTTTTGCTGTGGTCAATTGCCTTGAGACACAGCTTCATTCAGCTGTCTCTGAATGGTAGTTCAGTTGAGTATCAGTGCTGTTGTGTCAATACATCGCAGAGCTCAACACTAATGGTAGCCAAATAGCCACAGACAGTTTCAAGGCAGTGTGGCAGAGTGGTCAGCGCGTCGGACTCGCAATCTGCTGCTCGCGGGTTCCAGTCCCACCCTGACAACTATCTGGATTTGTTTCACGGTAGCTCTGAGTTCAAATCCTCAGCCATGCTTGTAAATAGCCAACTGGTTTGCCTTCGGCCAGGTGCGATTCTTAATAATGTTATGTTCAATTTGAATTATTTGTTTCAGTTATTTCTTTGTGGAGAACCTGTAAACTAGCTTCAGCTAAGTGTTTCTTCCGTGTTAAATAAAGATTATTATTATTATTATTATTTATTATTAGACTTAGTCGAGTAGAAAATCGGTTTTGATTCATGGTTTTTGATTTTCATTAGCCAGTTTGGCTAGTAAACAAACTGAAATTGTCGTAACATCTAAAAACATCTTAGAAGATGTTACTAGTCACTTGGCTAGTAAGTTGAAAAGTTATTGTCGAGCCCTGCATTGAATGATGCATCTTTTTTGTGTGTTTGTGTTTTGTTTTCCACTTTTAGGCCATAAGTCTAGTGGAGGGAAGATATTCTGAAGAAAAAGCTGCCAAGTTACAAAGGTGAGTGAACCAGAATCCAGAGTTCAATGTCAGAGACATTCATGCCTATCTGTTATGACTTGTAATCTAAGCAGGGCTTGACACTAACTTTTCAACTTACTAGCCAAGTGGCTAGTGACATCTTCTAAGATGTTTTTAGATCTTACAACAATTTCAGTCTGTTTACTAGCCAAACTGGCCAGTGGAAATTGAAAACCACTAGCCAAAACTGAATTTCTACTAGTCTGTGGCTAGTGGGCTACTGTTAGTGTCGAGCCCTGCGAAGTAGACATGCTTTTCATTTTGTTTGTATAGAACGCAGATGGCAAGAACTTGATTCACAACTTGATTTACTGGTTATTATAGAATGTCGAAATAAGTGTACATGGTAGAAGCGTGTGATTTGACTCGTCAGGTTTTTTGCCTAATAGTTTTGAGTGGAATAAATCGAATTTATAACAAAAACGACTATGCTTTCTTTGTGTTTATAACATTCACGTACACCCCACAGGAAATTGGAATAATCCAAGTATAGAATATTAGCCCTATAACTCCTGAGATCAGGCTCCGGTTGTTCAAAGGGCGGATAACGCTATCCAACAGATAAATCGCTATCCAGCAGATAAGTGTTACCAAAACGTACTGCGCTATCCACCAGATAGAGATTTATCCAGTGTATAGCGTTATCCATCCTTTGAACAACTGGGACCTGATTGTTCATTCTCCCCTCTCACTGCTGCAAATTTCCTTGTAACTTAGTCTTGAGAATTTGGTGATGAATTAAAACAACAACTTCTGCCTGATAAGTTTGGGTGTTCTCATAAACTGTTTGCCAACCGATAAGTGGATATTATTGGGAGAAGTTACATGTTAGTCACTTCTGGAAGTTGAAGAGCTAAGCCATAAACTTAATTTTCTGACAGGAAAGTTGAATAATTCAAGGATAGACTATTAAGAAATGAACCTCATCAGCCAGCCATATGGAACAATATACAGAATTTGGATATATGAACAAAGTTGAAATGGTAAATTGGCCACTGTAACGATTACAAAAGCTGACGTTTCGAGCATTAGCCCTTTGTCGGAGCGAATAGAGGAATTGTGGGTTGTGTGTGCTTTTAAAGGCAGAAAATGGAGCTACATTATTGGTGGAACATGGCAACGAGAAAAACACAAATAAATTAGTGGAATGAAAAGCGTTCGTTGATCCCTGTGGGATTTAGACAAACCAGCAGTCTACCGGCAGTCTAAATCCCACAGGGATCAACGAACGCTTTTCATTCCACTAATTTATTCGTGTTTTTCTCGTTGCCATGTTCCCACCGATAACGTAGCTCCATTTTCTGCCTTTAAAAGCACACACAACCCACAATTCCTCTATTTGCTCCAACAAAGGGCTAACGCTCGAAACGTCAGCTTTTGTAATCGTTTCGGTGGCCAATTTTCCATTTCAACTTTGTTGATAGATCCAAATTATTCTGCTACCCCCACCAACGCAGCCCCAAACAGTTTCTTTAGAAACTATCAGCCATTATACATGATTGTGATTAGAAAGGAGAGCCGAGATAGCTTTGAATGATGAATGCAAGATGAATGCCACCTCTCTTTAAACACCTTGAACCTCCCAGTGCCCTTATATTAATAACTTGCTAAATTTCCTAGATAGATTTAAGAAAAAAAACTAAAAGGAAAAGTGAAAATGAGATGTTTGGCTCGAAGATCTTTGTTTTCCTGAACACAGTGGTCAAAGTTTGGGCCTGTGCACTGGGATCAAATTGGGCTGGCCATACACAAATTTTTTGCCCATAATTGCTGAACTAAACATAAGATACAACCCCTGTCATGCAAAATATGCAAAGAAATTGAAATTTTCATACTAGATATCTACAAATTGAACCTGGAGTAAGGAAAAGAAAAACTTAAGACTTTTTGAACACAATGCTAATTTACATACAGGTATACCGTACTTCTGATTTTGTTTTGAGTTTTCTCAAAAAAGTTATATGCCTTTTAAATTCCATGGCTTGTGTGGTTGTTTATAATTCTTGTTAGACAACTTGGCTCCCTAAGCCTGAAAGCACCCTACCAAGCTATAACAACATTTACACATACACAGATGCTTGGCAGCTGTGTTGTTCAAATCCTGTTTATTCTTTATCTTCTTGTGATTCTGAGTTAGTGTGTCCAGTATGTTCAATTTTTTGGGATTTTCTAGAATATTACAGATTTCCAGAAGCTGGTGTTTGAGTTAATTATAGGATTGAGGGCCAGCATATTATTTAGTTTGACTTCATAATAACTAAATGTCACTTTTCCTCATCCTTGCCAGATCTCGCTTAGGGGTCAATAAAATATCATGCAGTAAACTACATTTTGTTTCATTTTTTTTTTTTTTTTTTTTTTTGCTTCTAGAGAGAAGGAACTTGCAAGGATTGTCATAAAAAAGGAAGATGTGGACTTGATTGTGAGTTATGTGAACCCTCGAATTTAGCTTGGACAACATGTTACTGCTCTGACTTATGATTAAATTTGCCTTTGCTTCAGTTAAAGCTGCTAAAAGTGTATACAACTGTAATCCATCAGTAACCCCAGAGAGATGGCAAGCCAAAGCTGTGTGATATTGTGAAAAACCTATTCCATAAGGTTTTTTATTAACCCCTTACACTCTAATCAAGGCTGTGCTTTAAGGAAAATTGAATGGAGCCCAGTGCTCTGAAACTGTGAAATCCAGGGTGCCCAGTATTATTAGGCTTTTTATGAAAAAACTAAAATTCCTCATTTGCGCTAGAGCAAAAGTAAGGTGCTGAACCCCACCGGGCACTGCTAGACCACAGCCTTGCTAATGTTTATTCTCCATACACTGTACTGTTCTCTGCACATTTCCTAAGGTGCTGACAAAGAGAATTTGTTTTACAATCCAGAGCTTCTTAAGTCGAGGATCATTTCCTTTGTTCTTTGTGTGAAATGGTAAAGAAAATATTGTTAGCAGGAGAACACCTTAATCTCAACTGAAGTTCCTTTTATTACTAGGTTGAGGAAATGGAAATTCCAAGAGCTGCTGCAGAAAGAAGTTTAAGAGAACACAAAGGGGATGTGGTTGAAGCTTTGGTGTCTCTAACAAATTAAACAGCTTTATAGAAAATAATAATAAAAGGTGACAAGACATTGACATATGAATGATTGTTCAGTTTTATCACCATATGGATTGGAAATTATTAGGCTGTATTTTTCAGTTTTGTATTTATGAGGATACAGTCTGAGTGTGTTATCATGTTGTTGAAATAGGTGAACCTTCTTCATTCTCTGAATGTAATTTCCATGGTGATCTGATTGCTCTTCTGTAACATTTGTCTTTGTGCTCACTGCATAAAATGCCAAAACCTAAAAGTCTATGAAATGTCATTGACTAGTTCTTGTATGATACAGACACTTGGAAGAATCACTGAATTAGAAAAACATCCCTGTGACAGACATTTTTGATAATTCTCTTTGTTCTGTTATGTTTGAAGAAATAAAGGTGTGTTCAGGGAAATTACTTTTTGCCTCGTTTTTTTTTTTTGTTATAACTTAAATCTCTACTTCAACTGGAGTCAGATAACTAGGTTTTTATTTTCCTATTCTTTTTCGACCTTTCCTCATCGATAACTAACTCGAGGTGTGCTTCAACATTCATTGAATGTGTTTAGGTTGGGTATGTGGGGGAGTGGGGAGGGGAGCCACGTAAGAAATATTGCGTGACTTTAGCCTCTTTAAATAACGCGTTAGTGCTGGTAACGAATTATTTGTTTCAGCATCGTAAACATGGCGGACTGCGGCAGAATTTCCGCTGTGATATCTTTGACGTTGATGTGCGCTTGGGGTGTTCGTTCTACTGCAAAATCTTCTTTTCAAGACATTCCGTCCGAAGCTTGGAATTACGTGGAAGTACGAGAAAATGCGCACATGTTTTGGTGGCTCTACGGAGCACAGACTAGCAATCCTTCTGAACGGGCAAACAAGCCACTCATCATGTGGCTTCAAGGAGGACCTGGCGGTTCCTCGACAGGGTTTGGAAATTTCGCGGAGCTAGGTCCTCTCACGGTGGAGCTTAAACCTCGCAACACCACCTGGATTCAGGTAGCAAATGTTTTATTCGTTGATAATCCTGTTGGCTCAGGGTATAGTTATGTCACCGACCCAAGTGCTTACACTACGAATGTGACCGGTAAGTTTCTACGACTACATTAGTTGCATGCTATTATTACACGATAGCTCTACACCTCATCGGTCTGTTTAAAACTGGAAAGCTCGGAGATCACACTTGTAGATCAGTTTCTTCAATTAAAATAGCTGAGCCGTAGAACTAGAACCAAGTTGTTCCTAACACACCTTCAGACAAATTAAATATCCCAGTGAAGTCACGAGTTTGGAACAGTTTCAATTTCGTCCCTTCATGGTGAT